CAGACGATGAGACGGTTCATTGATTGACAGGGACTGGCTGCAGTTGCAATAATCGATTGATCTTCAAAGTGGATCTTTGAGGAAATAAACCTAAAATTAAGTGGTGTGTGCTGCTGTTATTTGGTTAATGATCATATACAACTAAGTATCTTTGAGTTTTGTAGCTGTTGTGAAACAAAACAAGACGTGAACACATCGCTGTGGACTCTGGGAAAAGGATGGGGGTGTGTTACAGAAGGAAAGTCTCTTTTCAGATTGTGTCTCTCATTTAGTTCACTTTTTAATTTTCTTAAATTATTTTTACATCATTTTTTTCCACGTGAAGCAGCTGACGTTGAGATGTGATGCGACACAAACGCAGTCGTGTTCGTGAGGTTTAAAGAGGAGGCGTCTGTAACCGTCGAGCCGCTCTGCCTAATGTATTGTATTGTGATTTAATGTGATGTAAAGTACAGTAGTTAAAGCTGCGTGATGCAGGTGGGACATTAACAAGGAGACGCACTTTGAATGTCAATACTGAGCACATGCACACACACACACACACACACACACACACACACACACACAATGGGTGGTAACAGGACCATTGAGCTGCTTTGTAATGCACAGACGAGTGCTGTTGTCTGGACACGCCCTCTCTCTCTCACCCTCGTTGTCTTCTATTGTGAGTCTCTGTCTCTCGCCCATTCCAGCACACACACACATACACACACATATACACACATACACACACATACACACACACACACACACACACACAGAACTCTGAGTTGGAGTCAAACCATCAAGCAGTTAGTGCCTGGCTCATCAGAAACAACTGGTTGTAGCAGCTCATTGGCTCGGCCCCTTTATACACAGACATAACACACTACAACTTAGGCACACACACACATACACACACACACACAAACACGCACAAACACACACACACACACACACAGGCTGGTTGGTGAGAAAGTTTCAGACTGTGGGAAAGAGAATGAGCCGGACGAACTCTGGCTCTCCCTGAGGAGAAAACACACACACACACACACACAGAAACACACACTTCCACAGGCTACACAACATGTGAACAAACATATTAACGTGTTCATGTACAGCACATCAACAAACAGGAATTCACTCTCAGCTCTCTCGACCTTTGACCCTGAGATTTATTTAGATCCAAAAACTCTCACGGCCCAAAGATGTGATTCCACATGTTCCGGTTCACAACACACACACACACACACACACACACACACACACTGCAGTGAATGGGGGGGGGAACTCTGCATCTCTTATTTTATTTTTTCAGGAGCTCTTTGTGGATTTTTAGTTTCTTTGATGTCGACAACAAACATGTTCATGAGCCCGAAAATCAAAAACATCTCAAGTATCAAATATCAGATTTTTAAACTGGTTCACTTTGATCAGAGAGTTCAAGATTTCCATTAAACTTTTCCCAGTTTTAAACTATATTTTATTTAGTTCTTAAGAATAAATGTAAAAGTGCAACGATTAAACAAATAATCAATCGGCAGAAAATGAATCCGCAGTTTATCGATTAATTGCTTCAGTCACTTTTCAAGAAAAAAAAAACTCATGATACAAACATGTTTGAGTTTGGGAACAAGAAATGATCAGCTTCGATTATAGATTTATAAAGCGTGTTATTGATCAATAGTTTAGTTATTTTGAGAAAGTAATCAGCAGAATGATCGATAATGAAAATAATCCTTTTTAAATGATATTTAACATTTAAGTTATATATCTGTGTATATTTGTGAAGGTGTCACAGAGTATTGTGTCATGGCCAGAACAGAAACTATTCAAATGTTAAACCAACTTTATTTATAACTTAGTTTTAGTTCAAATCCATCAGACACCTGTTGACTCAGTTCTGTGACCCAGTTCGCCCCTGAAGGCAGCAAACGTTCGCTGTAGAAACTCTGACGTGCTTTGAATCAACAGGTGAATCAGTCACCACACACTCCGGCTGCGCAGGAAAACACGGTTCAAACTCACACAACTTTATTTTGAATTTCAGAGACAAAGTTTCCAAAGACTCCAGATATTTACATTTGATGGAAGCAGCGTGAAAAGCACAGAGTCTGCAGTTTGAATATTTCACTCAAGGTAAACATCAGAAATATATTTATATATATGACCGTCAGACGGAGAGAAACAAGATGATTTTATCAACTTTAAAGCTACTTTAGGGTCAAGTACAACTTCTAAATCTCCATCGAAATCCAGGATTAAAATATCTTGAACCCAGAGCAGCGGATCGACCGTATCTGTCGTTTGATTTCAAGGCTTTTCTCTCCCTCATGTGGCGCGTACTTCCTGATTTCTATTCACCTGCCGGCAAAATATGAGGTCACCGCTTAACAAACTCCTCTCTGTGGGAGGGGGGGGGGGGGGGGGGGGGGGGGGGGGGAGCAGGTTCTTGTGTAAATACACAAGAAAATGAAAATGTGCTATGTTGTGGACAGAGTGTGTAACTGAGGTCTGTCGGTTTGGTTTTGGTGCAGACACACTGTCCTTGTGTTGGTGTTACATTAGTAGACTGGACGTCAGCCAGCGCGCAGTGTTGTTTCAGCCCCGTTTCCCCGGCAACGTGTGAAATGCCGCGGAGGTCAGAGGTCGGAGGTCAGAGTTCGGTGGTCTTGGGGTATTTGGCAGCTCTGGAGGAAAAAAATGTGAGAAAAGAAACACGCATACTTTACACACACACACACACACACACTGAGGTATTCACATGCACATTCACACTTGCAAACACAGTCAAACCCCTGCACACACACACTCATTCACAGTCATACAGGGGGTAATTAGGTGTGTGTGTGTGTGTGTGTGACACAGCAGGGAGCAGAGCAGCGACACTTCAGATCAACAACTGCACGACAGCAACGTCAAACATTTGCTGCTCGTAGCGTCTCAGCTGTTTCTGTTTCCCTCTGTTGTCTGTCACAAACTGCTTCTCTTCTCTTCATTTATCTATTTATGTATTGATTGATTTATTAATGAGGCAGTGCTCACTGCTCATCCCTCACGTTAAGAACATCGATGTTAATGTAAATGCGGCGGGTTTACTGGTAAATTTCATCCGTAGTTAAAACATCAACAAAAAGACGTGATGATGAGCGTTTTCTACTGTAAAGAAACAGAGCGTTATTGTCTGATTGGTTCTCAGTGGATACAAGTACGAACAAACGCACAACACCTGCGGGAAGCTGAGGGGGGAGGAGCTGCACAATCAATCAGTCAATCAATCAAATCACAGGAGCTGCAGTTTTTTTGATGAGGGTGAAAATGTGCCGCATGATTGTGCAGTTAGCATCGTTAGCTTTGTGATGCTACAGAGACAGACGTAAAGGAAACATGTTTGTTTGATACAAGATCCAACAACAATCACAGCATCATCATTTTTTCTTTTCATAGTTAATTTATAAAGACATTTATTGTTTTTAAACCAGATTTTTAGGTTTTAAATGTTTGATTTTAAGATAAAATACAAATGCTTTCTATAAATAAATAAAACAAAACATCAATTTAAACTTAAGGAGTTTAATAATATATTACACAAATGAAACCCTGTGAAAAATGAAGCTAAAAGGACCATTAAAGTTAAATTCAACTAAGTATGAAAACCGTCAAGCATCACAATTTAGCAACGAGACAGAATCAGATTAGTCATGTTTGTTAATGACTCTTTGATCAGACTGATCAGTTTTCTGTAGATAGAGTTGTCATACAGACGTTTTTTTGTGTCGACAATGAAAGAAAGAGTTTGTGGAGAAACATCAGAGTCTCCTCTCCGAGTCAGACACAGTGAGATCTCTCTGGACGTCGATGCAGCCTGATAATCCGATATGTCACCACGACGCTCCGGCGTGTGTGCGGCACATTCCTCCCTGTGAGAAGACGGTCGGAGGAGGAGGCGCGAGGTGTGAAAATAACTTTTATCAAGGCAGCTTTATGTTCGGCTTTGTGAACGACAGAAGCTGCGTGTCACTGAATGAATGAGCAACAAGCCTCGACTTCCCTTTCTTGTGAATTAACAGGCTCAGAAGATACAAGCCTTCACACAAACACACACGCACACACACACACACACACACACACACACACACACAGTAAACTCAGTGTGGCAGTAGTCGGGGGAGGATGAGGAGGAGGAGAGCATCAAGACTTCTTGCTTCCTGCTCAGCATGCTGGTCCATGTTGTGTGTGTGTGTGTGTGTGTGTGTGTGTGTGTGTGTGTGTGTGTGTGTTCCTCTCAAAATCAAGGACGTGAGGAAAAAAAAAGCGCTCTTCAGATTAACCTCGGCGACCGGCAGCTGAGAAACTCTGCCGAGAGAAGACAGTGAAGGAGAGGAAGAAACAGTCAGTATGTAGAGCGGCTGAAACGCAGCGTCATGAATACCAGACGTCAGGTGACGAGTCAGTGAAAACACTGATCTCAGAGTCGAGTCTTATCAGCCTGACGGCCTGAACGGTTTTCTTCAGGGAGACTGGACGGCCTGGAAAAGGCTGAAATTTACTGCAAATACAAAATCAAAACAAATTCCTACTTCAATGCCTGGATTAATCTTGTATGGAGCAAAATGAAACATTAAAAAGTCATAAATCTGAGTTCCTGATCCTCACAGACAGACTCATAATGTTGTAAAATAATTAGGATGCTGATAAAATGATGTGAAATATTGAGTGTTTTAAATCACCTTTGCTCTGCGGTGCTGCGAGCGTCTCACCGTTTAAACCACGCGGGCATTTTGGGGCTTTTCAGACGTCTGTGGTTCGAGAGGATTTATAACTCGTTTGAAAGCTTTTATTGCACTTAACGTAACGAGTCGTCCGCCTGTCTCTCCTTCAGGTCCCCAGATCTGTGCGGGACACATTTAGTGACTCCGATGTGAAAATGGAGGAGGCGGCGCTCTGTAGATCTGCTGTCTGGACGCCGTGTGGAGGATGAGTGATGAGTCTGACTAATCTGTTTTCTCTGTCTGTTCCAGAGCGGGGCTGTCGGGTGGAGACATGGCGGCGCTGAGGTGGGAAGTCCTGTTGTTCCTGGCGGTCGTCCTGCTGGTCTCCTGTAACGCCGCACCCTCCGACATCCTGTATCGGGTTCCAGAGGAGCAGCCGCCCAACACGCTGATTGGCAGCTTGGCGGCCGACCAGGGCCTGCCCGACACCGGTCACCTCTACAAGCTGGAGGTGGGCTCGCCGTACCTGCGGGTGGACGGCAAGACGGGCGACATCTACACCACCGAGATCCCCATCGACCGCGAGACGCTGAGGGACTGCCGCAACCTTTTTGAGGGCGACAAATGTTTCCTGGAGTTCGAGGTGTCGATCACCGACATGGTGAAGGGCATCGGCTCGGGGCCGCGGCTGATCGAAGGCCGCATCGAGGTGATGGACATCAACGACAACACGCCGCAGTTCTCCTCACCCATCCTCACCCTCTCCATCCCAGAGAACACGCACATCGGCGCCCTCTTCTCCATCCCCATGGCCACCGACAGGGACTCCGGCACCAACGGCGTGGCCGAGTACTCGCTGAGCACCGGGCCCGACGCCGACCAGCTCTTCAGCTTGCAGGTCGCGGTTGACACGGACGAGAAGCTGCCGCAGTTGGTCGTCATGGGCAACTTGGACCGCGAGAAGAAGGACTCGTACGACCTGAACATCCGGGTGGTGGACGGTGGGAGGCCGGCGAGGGCCAGCAGCGCTCTGCTGCGGGTCACCGTCACCGACCAGAACGACAACGCCCCCAAGTTTGAGAGGACTCACTACGACGCCGAGCTGCCGGAGAACAGCCCGCTGGGACACTCAGTGCTGCAGGTCAGTACACACACACACACACACACATACACACACACACACACACACACACACACAATATACCTTAAAGTTAGGAAGTTCTGTCATCACTGTCAACATGTCATTAGTTTGAAATTATTATTCATTTAATCTGAACTAGTTCTGTAGCTGTTACTTTATTTTTTGATAAAGGGATTGACAGGAAACTAATCAATAACTGATGAGCGATGGAAAACAACTCAAATCAATTAAGGATTTAAAAATTAGGATTTATTCTTGGGGTTTAAATTAATTTACCACACACTGGAAGAAAACATCAACCTCTGGGTCTGAAACATGAAGCATCAACAGTGAAGAACCAGAAGCTGCAGTTCCTCTAACGACCACTAGAGTCTGGCTCCAACAGTGAGTCAGTCCCCATAGACTCCCATGTTAAAATGTCCAACTCTACAGCAGAAATAAACATGTTTACAGCCTGGTACAAAAACTGTTTTGGTCTCTAGAGCTAATTTCCTCCTTCATGACACCTGTTTATATAACTCACCTGTTTACATTTTATTAAGGACTACAGTTATGGAGGATTGAGGGGCGTGGCCTCTTTGAGTGACAGGTGGGTGAGCGTATGCTTGGCACAAACTGGCTCCACACATGCCCCTCCTCTTTGACCATTTTTGGATTAGCTGGGAGTTAGGGGGCGGAGTCAGACACTGCCAAGATGGCAACGGTGGAGCAGCTCAAACCTGGAGCTTTAAAACCGCTTTTCAGAAACCTGCGGGTGACGTCACAGAGGAGACGACCATCTTTATTTACAGTCTGTGGCTGGAAGCAGCTGAGACATTGTTTCATCACATTAAGGAGGAACTTCAGGAGGAAATCAGGGTTTAAATTGTAGATCTTCACCTGTAAAACAACAGGATTCAGATGAGCAAGAGCTTCCAGACACATATTTGTCCTCACTATCACCTGAGCTCATAAATCTGCCTCTTTTCTTACATAAAACTTGTCAAAAAAAAAAGAAGTGAGATTCATTCCGGCTGAATTTGTTCCCCCTCATGCCCGAGCCTCGCTGCTGAATTCAGACTTTCTCTTCTCCACCAAACATTGCAGTGGGACCTTTGGCCCTTTCGGTGATAACACAGAGAGCCGCGGGACAACACGGTGCAGCCGCTGCACACAATATGCTGCTCAATTATCCGTTCAGACAGATGGTGCGGCCGAGGTGAAGCAGGGCGTGGGATCGCCGCGTGTAGTCACATATTAACCACTGATTCAACTTCACCTTTGAGCTCTCGGCGGTACGTGATGTCGCCATCAGCGCGGGGGCCGAGCGGGAAAGTTCAGTTTGGTTTGGCAGCATCACAACAAACCCACCTCGCTGTGTCATCCTCCTCTTCCTCCCCGCTCCCCTCCCCTCCCCGCGGTGCGGTGCGACCAGCCAGCCTTCCAGTGAGCTGTGCATGACTTAATCTGAGTCAGTCATGAGATTATCCACGGGGGCTTATTGGTATTATTGCTCTGGATGTGGCTCGTCGCGTTTCAGAGACAGAATTCATTTCACTTAACGTGCGTTTGAGGACTGATGGGACGTCGCTGACTGACGACCCTGACCTGTTTAAATCGTCCAGACTTTCGCTCTTTAAAGGAGCGTGCCGCGTATTTCAACCTATTTCCTTCCATCGCAACATTTCAAAATCAAACCACCTGATTTTATATAGATTTTCTACTTTCTACTCACTTTATTTCACTAAGAAGTCACAGTGGAGAAAATCTAAAGAGATTCTTTATTATTTTTGAAATATTTATAACATTAATATTAGTGAGAAAGTAAAAAAAAAAAAACAATAAGTTGACAAAATTGATCACATTTGATCGACAAAAAAACAGATTGGGATTCAGACATTGCTCTTGCGCCTCATTGGTCCACTGAAGTCGCTTCAAACCAGTAGAAAACAGAAATCTCTCATGTGAAATAACCAAAGCCGCTCTTACTTTGGCGGATGTAGGTGACTTCCTGTTCCTGTAGGAGCCCATCGCTCATCCTAACAAACTGATTGAGAGAAATAAAGCTTTTCACGGCCTTTAATTGACTAATAATCATCAGATTTGTTTGACTGATGAATTAGACGATTGTAAAAATGGTATTGTCCCCTTTCAGACGAAGGACCCCTGAAATCTGGAGCTCATTAAAGACCAAAGAATATATGACAATTGACAGAGATGTGACTGTCATTATCTCTAATGACTAATTTCCCAAAACCACGATAAAAAACATTAAATATTTCTCTGACAACCAGATGATTAATCAGCTAAAAGGAGGAAGCCCAAAATGATTTGAAGAGTCCACACTGAACTACCATGTAATTATAATGTAATTTAGTCAACAATAAACCAGACAGGATGTTAACTGTGATGGATTATCTCTCTGCAGAACGTCTCTGTGAGCTGTCAGTTTCTTTAAGAATAAAATGAATCCCTGAAGGAAAGAAACCAGTTTAAAAAGAGGTTGCTTCGATTTGAAGACTGGTCAGAAGAGAGGAGAAACGAGAGGTTTACTGTTGGTAAACGGGCTAAAACCATGCAAAAGAATCTGGTCCGTCTGTAAGAAAGAAGTTGGTCTGGCTGGTTAACTGTTAACAGTGTTTATATTTGCTGTACGCCCCGGACAGAGCGGCCTTGGAGAGCAGCCAGCTCAGCTCCTGGCTTCATCACAGCGGCACTGTGCTCCAGCAGCTCAACTGTTCAATACACAATTCTCAGAAGCTGTCAATAATTCACCGCTGTTTGGTGATGTCTGCTGCTTAAAGCCGCACCGAAGGAAAGGAAATCAATGGGCAGGAGAAATTATAATTTCACTTTAATGCTTTCTTTAACCTTAACCTCACCGACTTGGATCAGTGACTTCCACGGTCACCCCCAGGTGCCGGTGACGGTCTGTCACAGCGTGTGATCCTGAGCAGGCAGGAAACCAGATATTTATTATGTGGCAGGACGAAGTGAAGTCTGTGTAAAAAGGAAAATCCCTCAGAGATCGTGTCGGCTGCGTTAACCTTTTAAACCCCGATTTCCTCCTCAAGTGTTAATTTAAATGCTCGTGTTAGATATTTTCTCCCACATTGACAGTATCGTGCGTTCTGTATCATCTGGTTCCAGATCCTCATTGACGCTTTATAAGGTTTAAGAAAATCAACAAATGTGTCACACTTTGGAGCCTTGAGACATCATTTTATTCCTTCAAAAATGAATTGAATGAGTATTTGGTTGTAAATAAAATAGTTTCCCCCTGTTTCCGGTCGTCATGCTAAGCTAAGCTAACCAGATGCAGTTTGAAGTTATAAATTCACCTGCTGCTGTAGGAGTGGTATCGATCTTCTCGTCTAATTCTTGGCAAAACAGCAAATAAGCACATTTCCTAAAATGTCAAAGTGTTTCTTCAAAAAAGAAAGAATCCATCAAGGATTTCTGTCCTTGGCCCAAACAAACAGTTTTATTGTTTGTTTAAAAAAAATAACCTGACCCCATTTGGCAGATTTTTCTTGTTTCTTAAGAAACCAATATTTCTAGGAGTTACATTTTAGGAGATTATTTTGCTGAGTGCAGGCCTGGCTCAGGGCCATTTCTGCTTTAAAGGTATAAATGGCCTTAAAATTTAAAAACCCTAATTACATTACTGTACGTCCCAGGTGAAGGCTGCGGAAACGCTGAAGCAGCAGCACCTGGGACGTTTAAATCAGCTGTTCAACAACTAGTTCATTTGAAACCACACACCGACCTACATTTCCTCCCAGCAGCTGAGGCGTTGAATGAGCACAATTAAAAAGTATTAGATGTTTAGATAGAAAGGCGTCCTAATGAGTACATCCTAAGTGACATTCTGCTGACTGCCCGCACCTCCTAATTGACTAATTACCTCCATTTACTTTGGGTTTGGGCGTGTGAGGCCGGATGGTGGCCGATGCCGGTCCGTCCTCTCCGGTCTCCCCTAATGGGCCCTGAGGAGCTGGGGCTTTTCTGATAATGAGAGGACCATTAACATTCACTCATCTGCCCATACGATGCCAATGACCCGCTGCACGGCCATTAGATGTTGTTGTGTGGGTATGAGCACTCAGCTTTGATCTTCTATTATGTTTCACACACAGCAGAAAAACCCCTCCCCCTCAGGAGAACACAAAGGGCTTTGTGGTGTTGCATTAGTAATGGTTGTGATTCTTTGTAAGTCTAAATAGTCAATAAAATGATGGTTATAATGGGAACACATGTTTCAGGCTGCCGGTTACCTCTTAGACATCAATATTGACCATAGAAATGACTCAAGAAGACTCAAATTTGAATATTTATGGTTTATTTGTGTGATATCGACATATGCAGGCATGTTAGTTTTGACATTCTCTTAAAAAAACAACAACAATATTGTCATGTTGTGATGACTAAAACGGTACTAGAATCTGTATTTAGCTTACTACACAAACCTTTTTGGGGGGAAATTCATGAAAAAGTAACCCTCTTTTTTTGCCCCTGTAGGTCAGAGCCAACGACGCAGACACCGGCATCAACGGGGAGATTGACTACAGCCTCCATCAGGCGTCGGAGACCGTCCAGAGGCTTCTGCGCATCGACCGCTCCACCGGCATCATATACGTCAAAGGCCTGGTGGACCGCGAGGAGGAGAACTTCCTCAAGTTCTTCGTGGTCGCTAAAGATCGCGGGCCCAATGCTAAGAGCTCCAAGGTCCTGGTGACCGTCAACGTCAGGGACCAGAATGACAACGCCCCAGCCATTGAGATCCGTGGTATTGGTTTGGTGACGCACCAGGACGGCGTGGCCAACATCTCTGAGGACATGCCCATCGGCACCGCAGTGGCGTTGGTCCAGGTGTCGGACCGTGACGAGGGGGAAAATGCGGTGGTTACGTGCGTAGTTGCCGGTGATGTCCCATTTCAGCTTCGACCTGCAAGTGAGTCAGCCAACGATCGGAAGAGGAAGTACTTCCTGCAGACGACTACCCTGCTGGATTATGAGCGTGTTAAGGATTACAGGATTGAAATTGTCGCTGTGGATTCTGGGAACCCAGCGCTGTCCAGCACCAACTCCCTCAAGGTCCAGGTGACAGACATGAACGACAACACGCCAAACTTTTCCCCTGCGTTGCTCGAGGTGGACTTTGCAGAGGGCAACCAGCCAGGCGACAAGGTGCTGGATGTTGTGGCGACAGATGCGGACAGTGGCACCAACGCAGAGCTGTCCTACAGCATCATCGAGCTCTCGGCCACCAGGCTCTTCGAGATCGACGCCAACAGCGGGGAGGTTCGTGTGAAGAACCTGTTGGATCGGGAGGAGACGGAGCGTTACGAGTTCCGCGTGGCGGCAGCAGACAAGGGTGTTCCCAGCAAAACCGGCACCGCTACAGTGGTGATTAACGTCCTGGACCGCAATGACAATGACCCCAAGTTTATGCTGAACGGCTACAGCTTCTCCGTCATTGAGAACATGCCTCCGCTCAATCCCGTCGGTGTGGTGACCGTGACTGATGCTGATAAAGGTGAAAACGCCCGAGTGAGGCTGTTTGTTGAACCGGACAATGGCAAGTTTGTCATCCAGAACGGCACAGGAACCATCCTGTCCAGCATCTCCTTCGACCGTGAGAAGGAGAGCACCTACACCTTCCGTCTGAAGGCTGTGGATGCCGGTGACCCTCCTCGATCCTCCTACGTCGGCGTGACCATCAACGTCCTAGATGAGAATGATAACGCCCCCTACGTCACCAAACCGTCCAACTCCTCCTACACTTACTTGACACCCGTCACGCCACTGGACACCCGTGTGGAGGTGGTAGAGGCTGAGGACATTGACTCTGGACCCAACGCTGAGCTGTTCTACGCCATCACAGGCGGCAACCCGTACGGCCTGTTCCACATCTCGCCGAGCAGCGGAGAGATCACACTGGTGCAGGAATTCAACGGCAAGCACAATGGACTGCACCGCCTGGTGGTGAGGGTCAGCGATAAAGGCAAACCTCCCCGCCACACAACCGCCCTGGTCCATATTTTCGTCAACGACACCATGTCCAACGTCTCCCTCATCGAAGCGCTGGTCGGACACAGCATCTACACCCCTCTGGACAGGGACATTGCCGGAGATCCCAACTACGCCCTTGCTCAGCGCAGCAACATCCTGTACGGTAGCCTGGCGGGGATTGCTGGTGTGATTCTGGTCATTGTAGCCGTGGTGGTCATCAGACACCGGCTGCAGAAGGACACCAAGAGCGGCTACCAGGCCGGCAAGAAGGAGAGTAAGGACCTGTACGCTCCAAAGCAGGGCCCCAAGAACGGCAAAGGGAAAAAGAGCAAAAAGGGGAAAGCTCCAAAACCTGCCAAACCGCTGGAGGAGGACGAGGAGGCCAGCTTGCAGAAAGGCCTCAAGTTCAACCTCATCAACGACAGCGTCAACGACAGTCCCAGAATCCACCTGCCACTTAACTACCCGCCAGGAAGCCCCGATCTGGGCCGCCACTACCGCTCCAACTCCCCACTACCCTCCATCCAGCTGCAGCCACAGTCGCCCTCCGCCTCCAAGAAGCACCAGGCCGTTCAGGACCTCCCCGCCACCAACACCTTCGTGGGAACCGGCGACAACAACTCCACAGGCTCCGACCAATATTCGGATTACAGCTACAAGGCCAACCCGCCCAAATACAGCAACAAACAGGTAGGAGAATACGCAAATACGGCAATGTACCACAGGGACATCTATTGGACCAACCGGGTGTGGTAGTCATGCTGGGACTTATATTCCTCCACCAAAGTTGCACTGATTCCCCCCCGCACAGCACCCATCTCCAAACTGCCATTTCCCCTTTTGTCTTTGGTTTGGTTTGGTTTTGTTCACCATTTTCTGTTCTGTTCAGTTTTTTTGTTGGTTTTCACCTCAACATGGACACCACAATATTCACACCATGAAGGATTACATAAGGGATAGACCAAATATGGGCTTACCAATATTTACCATCTTGACATTTGACTGGTATTTGGTGACCATAACCCCCAAAATGAACTCTGCTGATCCAGAACGTGCTTTGAGGGGTGGTTGTGTTTTTGCTTTTCATGTCTAATCATACAAGAATATGTTCAATTAGTTTCTGTTCTATTAAAGCACATGATGTTATATTTTCACGAATTTAGAAAGCATATATGGAAATATGAAGATGGAAATCCTGAATACTCCCATATGGGTCTATCCTGAGCTTCTATATGTTTTTTCATCTGTTTTATTTGTGTTCACCTTTTCACAGAGGGTTAAATGAAGGAGTTTATGAGTTCATCCTTTTCTTTTCTTTATTATTATTCAGAAATGTTTTGATTGTGGAGTTGTTTGTGCAGCTGTTGAAAGGTTCACACTGACATCCTCATTATGTCTGGATGTGGGTTTTTTTTCTTTCTTTTCTTTCCTTATTTTCTGTCTGTCTGGAGGTTTAAAGCTGCTCTTTATGGCCCGATCAGCTTGTTGAAGTGTGACAAAGAGTGACTGTGAATTCCTGAGCTACTTTTTTTTTTTTTTTTTTGTACCCAATTTTATTGTTTCTTGGCTTTCTTTGGCCAGGAACTAGACTGGCTGAGTAGCACTTTAGAGTGTTTCCATCCAGTTCAGACCAATTTGAGGTAATTTCAGTGCGGTCAAGGAGCCAAGCAGTGAAGAAAGAAAGAAAGAAAGAAAGAAAGAAAGAAAGAAAGAAAGAAAGAAAGAAAGAAAGGGAATGAGCAGGAGAAGGGGAAGGGTGTTGAAGAAACCACTACACTATGAAGGAAAAGGTACACTAAGACTAAATACAACCATTTCTTAACCTCCGCACCTCCTGTCAGGTCAGCTGAAATACGACTTAATTTTGCCGTGTCCCCAATCACCAGGGCTAAAAAGTCAATTGTTTGCACAGATTAATGGCAGGTAATTTTCCAGGCACCCGCCTTATTTTACCCAGAGTGCCTTGCTCTATTCTATTTAATGTACAAAAGATGGGGGGGGGGGGGGGTTTGAGACAGAGGCCATTAACTGCGTTGATTTTGACGAGCTTTCACGAACCACGTCGGCTGTTTGTGGGCTTCAGCTTGGATGATCTAGTTTATGGGGGTGGGGGGTGGGGGGGGCTGTGAAAATGGAACTGTCATGTGCACTGTGAAATCCATGGAGACAATCACGTTAAGGTGTCGTCGTCGTAGTAGCGATGTTCAGACTGTACATATATGTGAACGACATGTCAAATATTTTGTTCTGTTTGTGCTTTTTTCATCTGCTGTTTTATTTGCAACATTACTGTGTCGCTGCGTGTGTGTGTGTGTGCGTGTGTGTGTGTGTGTGTGTGTGTGTGCTTAACAACAGTGTTTCATTGTTCACTGTGCTTCTAAATACCTGTACCAAAGACTCACACACAGTCACACACACACACACACACACACACACAAACACACACACACCTGCGTATTCGCTGCCATCACCATTATACAGTTTATATATATATATATATATATATGACGCTGAAGTTCAGACTGTGTTTCCTTGTTTGGTTGGTCTTGCAGAGTTCCTGCTGGTGTTAGCATCTCGCTAACGCTGGGTTAATGTTTAGCCTGTGAACACTCGAGCCCACAGGCGTCACACTTCACTCTCGTCAGGTTTAAATCCCCACGTCAACTCTGTTCCATCACACACACACACACACACACACACACACACACACACACACACACACACATGCTAGATCATGTTCTGCTTCATGTTCTGCTTCATGTTCTGCTTCTCTGGGGGAAATAAATGTACAGTGTTCTTTTTTTTTGTTTTGTTTTTTACAGTTAAAAGCAGATTTTATTTCAATAAACATGTTGCTTAAATGTTAAAGTGGCGCTCTGTTGCTTTCACTGGGTGGTTGAAGTGGGCGGGGTTACGCCAGGAAGAGGGGGGGATTACCGCAGGTAGACGTCTGATATTTCATTTTCATTTTCCATCCTTCACACATGGAGAGAAAATGTATGATGTGGTGCACGTTTAAAGCAGTGAATACATATTTAAAGTCCAGTTCACATTAGAATCCTTTTCTACAGAATCACATTTATTGATCAGGTCAGGTGTGAATTTGACTCATGCAGCTTAACAAGTAAAAACATATAATTATCATCGACCGTATAAAGAACTTAAAGTCCATATTAACAGTCAGATGTTGACAGGGGGGAACACATGGTGCACAGGAAGATATTGAATGGATAATGTAACAGGTTGCTTTCTGCATGTTTCATGTGCATCTATTGATGGATAAGATTAGATCAACTTTATTGATCCCGCTCAGGGACTTTTAGAGTCGGCAGCAGATAGAAATTAATATTACAAGCCGTTTTTATTAAAATTGGCGTTTAAACTGGACTTTAAGATTGATTTTGAAATTTTGACAATTTTATTTATGTGACTGCAGTAAAGGACTTTTTCCTGTTGCTCGGGCAGCAGTGCAGCAGCAGTTAGAGAAGCTGTGGCTCATGTCGCCAGTTCGAGCCCTGGATCAATGTGTGTGGGGGGGGGGGGTGAAGGAGACGTTGGTACCTCCCTCTCATTACCTCCTCCTCCTCCTCCTCCTCCTCCGCTGTGTGTTCTTAAACATCAGCTGCTTCAGTGGAGCTGCTCATTGACCAGCAGATCAGACAGCATCCAAACGGGAGTGTTGTGCACGCTGTCAAAATGAGAACATCGCTTTTCAGTTGGAAAAAAAAAGAGTTGAAAGGAAAACTGTCAACTGTAAAACCAGAGACGAGATTCGACTGTTAGAGATCCTGAATACATCTTCTCTCCCTGACCGTCCATAAAACACACATCAACCATTCTGTCTGAGTCTGTCACTTTAAATCTACAGCTGCCCTACCTGTTGGCATGTGGCCTATACACACACACACACACACACACACACACACACACACACACACACACTGTGGACTTTGAACCTGCAGCAAGGACAGAGATCAAAAAACGACACAGCAGGTGCTGAACCTGCCGGGGTCAAAGGTCAAATATCACTCAGGAACAGTTATTAGTAGCTAAGAGTAAAGGGGTCAAAGGTTAATGAGGGCACAGCCCCCCCCCCGACTCCTCCCCCGGTCTGGACTCCACATTAATAGTCCAGCAACGCCTCTCTGCTTTTACGCTGACCAACTCTGCTGTCTCTATGGTAACACAACGACCTGTGTGTGCGTGTGTGTGTGTGTGTGTGTGTGTGTGTGTGTGTGTGTGTGTGTGTGTGTGCGTGTGTGTGCTGACTCATAGTACTGACCAACCGCCTCCTCCTCCTCTCCCCTCCACCTTCCACATCTCCCCCCTCCCTCCCTCCCTCCCTCCAATCCAACACAATCCCTCCTTCTATGTAGAGCTCTGCCCTTTAAATGAACAGACGTGTGTGTGTGTGTGTGTGTGTGTGTGTGTGTGTTGCCTGTCATTCAGTTTATATAAGCTCTGGGTTGAGTGTTTGTTTCTTCCACATTCTGGCTATGATTTCATGGATTGCAACAGTCTGAGTTACTTATTTCCATGTAAACACTCAGATGAAGGTCAGCCAGTGTTTCAGGTTTATCTCATGATTAAGCAGAATTTTTAGACTTTTTTCTGCCTTTACAGGGTTTAAAGTTCAGGTTTTGGACGTGAGCTGGCATCGACAGTGACTTTGATACACGAGGTTTGGGAGTCCAAGGATTTCCAGACCGAGCCGCAGATAAAAACAGTACAAGCCACAACACATTTGAAACATTTGATAAGAAACTGTAAACACCTGCAACAGGGCTGGAAAAATTCTTCAGGCTTCTGTGTCTGTTGGAAATACTTTGTTGTAGACCAACCAGCGTGCAGCCCCCCCCGCCACTAGTCCCAAGAAGGGACTAGTTTGTACGACAAAGTTATTAGTAGCTGATTTTACTCCTGCTGGAGCACAAAGTCACACAATAATCATTTAAACACTGGAATTAACGGTGCACAGTCTTTCCTGTATGACAATCATTACCTCAAACTCTGCTCACCCCTCCCCCAACACAGCTGACCACTCACGCCATGAGGTGGGTGTGAATGTCAAGAGTGTTGTTTTTGGAAAGTTAATTAAAATGTCCCATGCATGCGAGCACTTGTGATGGAGTACACTGGAGCCTGAAGGCTGTATCCAAACAGACAGCAGTGCTATGAGGAAAAGACGGGATCTGAGTGGGATCACTGCGTTGATGCGACGGGGGCTGCAGCTTAAAATGCAAATGCACAGGAAAAAATAAATAAATAAAAAGGCAGAATCTAGCTCAGCTCGCCATCTTCCTACACGACAACACAATGCGACGTCCTCCGGCAAAGAGGCTGTGTTCGCTATTCAAACACATGCAAGGACACACACACACACACAAAATAAAATGATGTGAATCAGCCAATTTTAAGTTGGAGATTCTTCTTTTGTTGGATCGGTCTATTTATAGTTGCGTCTGGGTCACAAGACGAATATTCCTGTCAAACACTTTTTCTTTTCTTTCCAAAATTTGCTTTTTCATCAAATACTTGAACGTTTAACCACTGAAGCGACAGCGAAATCTTTTAGAATTACACAACCCGAGGAGGAACGAATCCATCGTTCGGTTGAAATGATCACAACTCGTGTCTTTACTCTTACTTTTGATGAGGTGTCATGAGTGAGAATTGTTGGATTTGAGATC